TCCTCATCAGCATTTTCATCAGTATTTACATCAACAGAAAATTCCAACGGCAACAACAACAACAAGGATAACTATAATATCATTAATGAATCCAACGGATTGATTATACAAAATAAGCTGAAAAAAATTCCAAGACCTCCTAATGCATTCATTCTTTATCGAAAAGATAAACATCCGGGACATTTAAAGTGGCGGACACGGACACGGACAACACTGCTCGTAATATCACACACCATTTAACAAGAATCAGAAAACTATAAAAGGTTTATTACTTCAAAAATAAAAAAAGATATATAATTATAATGAATAAATTTCATCGATCTTTTCTTTTAATATTATTACTAGAATCTAATGTTTATTAATCAGTCAAATAAGTATTGTTAGTAATAACTAATGGATATTAATTTCCGTTTTATTCATCTTTGTTAACATTTTAGAGAAAAGAGTTAAAATCAAGATTGTTTAATGAGCTAATCATTACTTGTATAACTTTTTAAACTTTTAGATCTAGCAATTTCTATCATCTAATATTTATAATACGCATTTGTGTGCGTCATGTTTTTTAATTTTAAGAAATTTGAATAATCTTTTTATTAAACTATTATTCTTAAAAATTTATTATCAGAAAAACCAAAAAGCTCTCTACTAGCTGGTCTTTTTAATGGATCCACATCCCAACACCTCTGCATAATAATCAGGCATTTAAGATAATATTAGTGGTCGCAAACCTTCACATATATCAAAAATTAAACAATGATTATGAGCTCTATCATCAAATGGTGGATGACCTGCAAATATTTCCCACATTAACATCCCAACACTATAAATATCAGGTTCTTTTTGCCTCTAAGTAGCTCAAGTGCAACATATAATACAATTCCATATATTTTATTTGATGACTTTTCGTCAACTGGTCCACATAATCCTAAATCTGTAATAAAACAATTACCTTCTTGCAATAATATATTACCACTATGTAAATCACAATGGATTAAATCTTTCCAATGTATCTGATGTAATGCAGCACATAAATAATCAAAGATTGTAATTCTGTTTTTTAATGTTAAATTTAAATGATTTTTTTGTAAATAATCTCTTAAATTTCCTTCTGATGAATAATTTAAAACTATTGCTTAATTTCCATTATTTGGGAATTTAGTTATACTAAATCACTGAACAATCAGTGATGCTCTAATTTTACAAAATCAATTAATATTATACAGAATTGTTTATTTTGTTTTAAAATGACAACCACCAACCTCATCAAAAAGCCTTTTCCTGGATTACTTGAATTATTTAAACTTTTTAATACTATATCTTCCCTACCATAATAACTAAATTCATTTTTATTTTCATCATAATCATCAATACTTCCACTTGTCCATGTAGCAGTATAAATTGAACTAAATCTACCTTCTGTCAACTTTGTTACTTTTTTAAATTGCTCAAAAGGTATCCACTGAAATATATCTTGGAAAAGATGATTTATTTGACATTGTTGAATAAAATCATCAATTATGTCATTCTAGAAGTCCAAGTAGTGAAAAGACTCTGTAGTTGTAAACTAATACAACCTTCTCAGAATCTATCAGAGTATCTTGTCAATTTACGCTTGTTACATTCTTTTGGTTTACCTTCTTTACATAGTGCATTATTTAACTCAAACTAATAAATAAACTCTCTTATAATATATTTCTTCATTTGCAGAAAGCTTCTTGTTTTTTTTTGACCAGTGAAAAAAAATATTATTTCTACTTTTTTCATCAGAATTATTAACCTTTGCATTATTGCTCTTTTCATTATAAATTTTATATACAGATTCCTTTCTTTCTTGTGATAATGATGATAATAATTTATAATATGACATTATATAATAAATTTGACTTGTGTTTTTAATAGGATGGAGATTTTTTTTTAAGAATAACAATTACATTATCCTTGTAATAATTATTGCATATACTTATTTCCTTGGTGATAATAATTCTCATTTTTTTTGTTATGATGGTTTTTTTGACAGTTAAGTTTATTTGATTGCCTTTAACTTTTTCTTTAACAGTATTGATAAGAATTAAATATAAATCTTGAAAATTGAAAAATAAAAATTGCATTATTAAAGAACAACTTCATCATCGCCAAACTCCAGTGATTGATTCATCGTGATTCAACAATATAAGAATTTCAGCATTTTTTTGTTTTATATTTTATCACATCTAAATCTTCAAATTAAAACCTATAAAAATCTGTACCAAAGCCTGTATTATGTGCAATGTAAAGGTCGTTCTATGTACCGACATTAATCAGCCTATGTTGTTTCAAGCTCAAGCACTAAAGCGCATTTTTATTTTATTGATAATATTATTATTACGCATAGTTAACTTCAAAATCAAAAACATCAAATTAACAAACTCAATAAGGTCTTTTTATATTTCGTTTACATTGTTATTATTACTATTAAATAATATTAAATTTATGAAACGTCAGTGGCAAAGCAAATGGAAAAATTTCTCTTAGAAAATCAGGAAACCTTCCGGGTTCAAATTACAGTTATTCTCATCTTCCACGCAGTATGTATATATACGATTGAAATTTAGGTATTCATCGAAATTGCATTTCTTCTTGTAGCCACACATGGAAAATTCACGTAATAAGATGACATTTGTGCCTAAGATCGATCTATTAGATTTAACATTATTCATTTTATCCTTTTGTTTTTGAGAATGATCAAGTAATTCTGCAACTTGGAAGTAATTTAATTTTCATCTATTTATCTTTTTCTTTTAGGGATTAATTATATAATTGATACATTTCAGGTTTTTTTAGAGATTAATTATATTATTATTATTTGGGTATTCATTTATTTATCTATTAATCCTTTATAAATTTAACAACAAAAAAAAATATAACAGATAACAACATCAACTCAACTATCTTCGACACCTAATCAATCAAATCAGGACGTAAATTGAAGATTGGATGATTATTTAGAGCCACCAAAGCCATTCTTCTTTTGAAGACGAGGGAAATAACATATCTTTACTGATTACTTTAATTAAAGTAATTTTGAGGCAAAGCAGGGATTGTTTTCTCTGCTCCTCGTGGTTATAAATTGAATAAGACAATATGGGAATACTTCTGCATTGACCTTTATGGATCCTAACGAGAAAAGAATATTGCCGATTGAACATTGAAAAAGAGGACGAAAGCTGAGCTTGTTCCTCATTATAATAACAGCCGTCCTTTTTTAACTATTAGTAAAGAATTTGTTGTCAGCTCAGAGAGAGCTTGATTGATGAGTTGGTCACTGTATCTACTCTTGTTAAAGACATTTTTGGATCATCGCACAATTAGGGAAGGAGGTTCGGTCTAAGACTTACTTGGGACGGACCGGACCATCAGTCCAGACCTCGGTTTGGACCACAGTCTTAGGACTACGGTCCTAAGGCCATTAAATAGTTGCATCGATCCGGTCTTTAATATTTTTTTGGAAAATAATATATAAAAACAACTAGCAAAGCTAATCAAAAAAAGTTTTCTTGTTTTCCATTCTTTGTTTTTTTTAATATACCCAGCTTGTTTTTTTGATTTTGGAGTTTTTTAATTGCAAAAGAGTATTATTTGTTATACAGTAGGTGCTCGATATAGTGAAGAGTCTGATCAAAACATCCACTCACATAATTAGCATCTGGCAATGTCATCAGGTTCTGGATCTTGAATATTCGCATCTACCATGATGATGTCATAAGAATTCCTGTTTTGACCAACAATTCCAAATGATCGCTTGAGTGACATTATCCCAAGCATCAGCAATAAAATGGCTTCTTTTATCTCTAAATATAAATAAATAATTGGTATAATTGATTTTTTTAAAAAATTCTTTATTGCGTTACATACTTTTGGTTATATGTTCCATTATCAAAATGGCGAATTAAATATTTAATATATTCATGTTTGTATTTAGCTTTAAAACTAATGGTTGGGCGAAATTAGTACATTCGTCAGTCGCCCATTCCGGAATTAGGTGAAATTAATTCCGTCCAATGACTGAAATCCGAAATGCCGAAGGCGAAATTAATTTCACCTTCGGTGATTGGCTAAAATCACAGTTCTGTCATAAAGAAGCTCTCTTATTGACTGTTAGTTGTGTAATATATATATATATATCACCATTGCATAAACAATAAGTAGTAAATAGAGTTAGCAACGAAACTATTTTGGGAGGAGAAACGAAAGTCGAAATTTAAAAACTTGTTTCTGCTTAAACAAGCTAATTTTATACAAGTTTAACAAGATGACAAGAGTTTACAACCTTTTTTATTGGTTATTTCATTTATATGACACATGCTGATAAATCAGATATTCGGACTTATTCGGAAATAAATGCTAAAATCCGGAACTAAAAATTGGATTTCGCCCACAGCATTATGAATGATACCAAGCATCCCGTCGATTATAAATGCAGAATCATTCAATTCTTTATTAATAATTACTGTTTCTTCATCACAGTCATTCAGAATGTTATAATTTTATTTTAAAATTGTGGTCTTGTGATGTGTTTGCTATATGATGTGCTGTGTAACGAACTCTGTCCTAAAAATAAATATTCTATGGAAAAAACATTTTGCTACACAAAATTTACTTGGCCTCAATTTTTAAAGTGTATTGAAGTTTTTAAAATGCTAAGGTTCAGGCAATTTTTGGTTTAAGAAAAATCTAACATATGGGTTTTGAAGCTTGAGTCATGAACAATAAAACTTATTGGCTAATTTTTTTAAAATGATATAAAAATTTTTTTTAAGGCTGACCAATTGTTACAATTAATTGATTATAGATGATCTGCACCGCATTTGGCTCAATGAATTGTTGGTTTTTGTGCACACACCTCATTTAAAAAAAAAATTTTTTCTAAAGAAATAAGGAATAATATAAAAATATAATATTCCTAGATTTCACTTCAAAAAAAAATTATATAATATATGGATCAGTTATCTTTTTAATTAAAAATGTCACAAAAAGATTTGCAGTTTTATAATTCCGTAAATGAGGCAGAATTCGATTCGGCTACCTTAAATTTTCAAATTTTCGAAGGTGAAATAGGCATTATTCCTGAAGTTGTAACTGCCCCATCACCGAATACCATCGAATCAACATCACCTACCTCTTCTCTTAAAAGAAAATCTGTTGAACAAGACAATAATGAAACCTTAAACATTCAGAAACAAACTGATAATATTAATATTTCACCTACCTTTGCTACTACCACCACTTCTGCCTCTGACACTAACACTATAGCGATCAATACTACGGCAACCGCATCTACTTCTGCTACCGATACTTCTGCTGTTGTTAACGATACCACTAATAACGTTTCTACTTCAGCTGCTACTATCGATAATAATAATAATAATGTCGGTAATAGTGGCAACAACAATATTAAAAATGAGGATGATGATAATAATATTATCATCAACATTATTGGTAACCATGGAAAAAATAATAATGTTATTGTCAAGAATGAGGAGATAACAATAGAAAAAGATGAAAATGTGTCAGATCAAGCTGTGGAAGAACCACCAAAAAAAAAAGCTCGTAAATCAGATAGATTAGCAAAAGAAAATTTAAAATATAATCCTCAATGGGCCGTAGTTTTTAATTGGATAAGACACGCAAAGGATGCTAACGGAAAGGATCTTATGTTTTGTACACTTTGCGAAAAATTTAAGATGAAATCGGAATGGGCAACTAAAGGTTGTACTTATATGAAAATGGATTATATAAATAGACATCGACGGTCCCCGCAACATAGACAAGCAATAAAAATGACTGAACCAGCAGAAACAATCATTAAAACAGAAGTAATAAATCGTAGTTTAGGTTCAGAGCTTAACAACACAATAATGCAAATGCGTAATTTATATTTTCTTTCACAACACAATTTAGATATTAATATTTTTCCAGGGTTGGTCGCTTTAGTGAATTATCAAAAAATTAATGAAAATAGAATTATAAGTGACGAACCATTATCGCTTTTGCGTTCACCAACAATAAATAATACCAACGCTACAAAATTTCAAACAGTACAACTTTTACAGCAATCTTCCTCGCCTTCAATCGCCACTGCCACCACCAATATCAACACCTTTTCATCATTTTCCAATTATATTTATACAAACCCACTTGCGAGCTATGAATTTTTGAAATCTGTTGCTCGTCCAATAGAAGAGGCTGTAATAAAAGAGATTAATTCTTCGTCTTGTTGGAGCTTGCTTGTGGATGAGAGTAATATAAAGGCCTCATCCGAAAAAACCTTAACTTTTATTTCTAAACATATGGTTAATGATATACCAATTTTACGTTATTTAGGTATGATGAGAGTTGGTGATTCATCATCCGAATCTTTATTTGAAGCCATCGAGGCTTTTATTTTGGATAAAGGATTGAATAAAGTAAAATTAGCACATTTTGGTAGTGATGGCGCCTCTACCATGTCAGGTAAATAATTTTATTTTATATTATGTATATATATGTATGTATACACACATATAAATATGAATGTGTCATTTTATTATTAATATTAAATTTTTTTTTAATTTTTATTATTATAGGATTTCAAAATGGATTGAGTGTTCTTTTAAAAAAACGTAATCCTTACTTAACATCAAATCATTGTATTGCTCAACGTGTTCATTTGGCCCTTGAAGATGCAGCAAATCAAGTTTCTTATTTTGAAAATTATAAATCGATTCTCAAAGGAACCTATACATTTTTTTCGAGTTACTATAAAAGAATATATGAATTAAAAGGAATAAGAGAATATAGCGAACAGTCTGATATAAATATTTTAAATAATGAAGATACTCAATGGGTTTCATGGATCACAGTTGTTCACAATTTTAATTTAATAATCGACGATATCAAATTAGAATTACAAAAGAAGTTAACCTCTAGCCTGATGGCCAAGTTCTTACATGATTCAATTGATACACAATTTATCATTGCAACAAAATTTTTAGCTGATATGTTGGGTATAATACATTCGATGGTAGTGGCTTTCCAAACAGATTGCTTATTTCTTGGTGAAACAGAAAAACAACTTTTAAATGTTACTCAACAAATTACTGATAATTTCATTGGTAGCGAAAACTCAGCACCACGTTATGGAACTCATTTGGCTAGTTATATAACCCTTAATTTAATACAACCAGAAAATTTACCAGGTAAATATATATTTATTTATTTATTTTGTTTATTTAATTATAATTTTTTTTAATAAAAAAATAATGAATCATCTCATCCACACACGCACACGCACACGCACAACATATATAGCATTTATCAAAAAATTTTCAGAAACAACAATTTACAGCTTAAAAAATCGATTCCCAGACTGTTCATTATATAGCGCAATGCGGATCTTAGATCCGAGAGAAATCCCAATAGAACAAAAATTGTTAAAAAGATATGGTGAAGAAGAGATAAAAGTTTTAATAGATTTTTATGGCAAACAAAAATACAATGATTTTGGTGTTTTATATTCACCATTTATTGAAGAAAAAATTGTACTAAAAGAATGGAAGACAGTAAAGAATTTGTTGGTAGAGTATAAAGATTACACGTTCTTGGAGGGATGGAAGAAAATTCGATCGATAAATACAAACTTTCAACAATCTTTTCCAAATATAACAAAATTAATTGAAATGGCTTTGATATTGCCTATATCCAATAGTATAATCGAACAATTATTTTTCTACAAGAATCTTATTAAGAATAGATTTTATAACAATTTGATAGATATTAATAGTTTAAATTATCATTTTATGATTTCTTTAAATGGACCGGAATCTTTTGAAAAATTTGATTATGAGGCTGCTTATGATTATTGGAATGCTGCACCTAGATTTCAACATCAAATTAATCCTATTACTACCACCACCACCACCACTAATACTACTGCTAATATTATTAATAATAATAGTATTGATTTTAAAAATAATAATATTTGATATTTATAAAAATACTTTTTTTTTTCCTGTAGTCTATTTAAATTATTTTATTGTTCAAAAGTCTCTATATAAATTAAAAAATAAAATTGTATAATCTCTACTTTTTTTGTTGTACAAAATTTAAATTCTTTCAAACTAAAACATGGTTGTAAGTAAACTAATCTGTACTGATATAATAATAATAAATGATAATAAAGCAATTTGATTAAATTTATTATTGTCATTATTAATGTAGAAACTTGGACTTTTTTTTAAAGCAGAATTGGAAAACGTTACAGATGTTGGACCAAGTGGTGATGAGTATGAGTGGCATTTTAAAGTAAAGTTACTATGTAATTTTAGAGATTAATTAGTAGTATTATGTATAAGATTAATTAATGTTTGTTTGTAATTAATTAGGTGAAATGTAGTAGTTGTAATGAATTGAATGAGAACTGGGTTGGAATGAATCGATTGGTAAATATTTGATTTTTCATCAATTCTATAATCTTAATTAGTAAGTATTATTTATCATCATTCATATATTTATTTACATATTTATATATATATAATCAGTCTCAAAATGAAATTCTTGGATCAAGAGGAACAGCGAATTTAGTCATCAGATGTAAATTTTGTAGACGTGAAAGTTCAGCGCGTAATTAAATCAATAGAATTAGAACAAAAAAAATTTTCGATTAAAAAAAAATAATTTAATATTTAAAATTAAAAACTTTCTTAATAATAATAGAAATTGATCCAATACCAACTCAATTATATACTATTGAAAACAATGGGAAATTTGTTAAAATGTTGGCCGTAGATTGTAGAGGATTGGAACTTGTTGATTTTGAACCAAGAGTAATTATTAATCAATCAATTTATTAATCAATCAACATGTTTATTTAAGAGATCGATTAACATAATTGGATATTTTCATTACATAATATATTTTTAGATGGGATTTAAAGCTACAGGAGTTGATTCTAAAACATTATTTGAAGATATAGATTTAACTGAAGGCATTTGGGCTGATTATGATGAAAAGGTTTATTTTGATTTGATATTTTTTTCTCTTTTTTCTTATATATACATTCATCTTAATTTATTTGGTTTTTTATTAAAGGCTGGAGTTCCGGTTGGAATTTCAGAAATCGAAACCGAGTTTAAACGCGTCTAAAGCCAAAATAGAATAACAACACGTATATATTTATATTATATGCATATATTTATTTTCTTTTTTTCTTCTTGTCTTTATAATATGTGTGTTTAAATATATTTTCTATTTGATATTAAAAAATAAACCTATAATGCCATTTTACTAAATATTCCAACAAAACCAGTGCACAAAAGATAAATATGTCATAAATACTATTGCAAAAAGATTAAAATCTCTAATTATAAACTCCAGAATATAATCTTGTATATATGATACATTTCTTATTACTAAATAATAATAATAGTAATAATAAATTAATAAATTAATAACTAAAAAAATGTATATATTAAGTAATTAAATAATTAATATTAAAGAATAAATAAGTAAATAAATAAATAAATAAATAAATAAATAATAATAACAAATTAAAAAAAAAAAAGGTAAATTTTATATTAAAAAACTTTTTTTTTTTTAAAAAATCAAAAATCTATTGCTAATTGTTGTATTTATTATTTATCTTCTGCCCCTGCTGGATAAGGTTGTTTGGATTTGTTCAAGTTCAGCTTCTAAAGCTTTGATTTGAGAATGTTCGGCTTCCAAATCTTTATTGAGTCGGTCACGTTCTGCGATTAACTATAAAAAAATTTTTATATTAATAATTTTATTCGTCCTACCGGCCATACGTAAGTTTATTTATTATATAAAGTAATTATAAAGTAATAATATTAAATAATGACAGCACTAATGATAATCATAAATTTTTAATTATAATTGCTAAATCAGTTTAAAGCCTTTGGACATCGAAATCATGAAACGTTTAGGATCTCGTGTTAATCTTATCCCTGTTATTGCTAAAGCTGATACTCTTACACCAAATGATTTGGATACATTCAAAAGAAAAGTAAGATATTTGATTCTTTAAAGGAGCTTTTTTAAAAAAGAATAAATTAAATATTTCATTTATTTCTAGATAAGAGAAGTTATTGCAACACAAAATATTCAAGTTTATCAATGTCCAGTTGAAAGTGACGACGAGACAAATACTAAACGCAACATGAACATTATGGTAATTTGAAAATTTTATAATAATGTTATTATTATTTATTATTAATAATGAACTTATTTTAATTTTTTAAAAAAGGCTTCCATGCCATTTGCAATCATCGGTAGTGACCAAGATGTTACTACACTTGATGGTCGTAAAGTAAAAGGTAGACAATATAGCTGGGGTGTTGCAGAAGTTGAAAACGAAGATCATTGTGACTTTAAAAAACTTCGTGCACTTCTTATTAGGTAATAATTATTATATTTGTGTGTGTATATTAATATTTATGAAATAAATAATTTATTCTAATTTTTTTTTCTTTTAAAAT